ACATTGCTTCCTCCCTGTGGGCACATGGGTCACCAAATTGACCCTGTTCTCTCATCACAGGCTCCCAAGACACATGAAAGCACTGGCTTGCTCCTGGCTTTCTATTCCCCTTGTTTTGGCTTGTATCATATAGCTCTTTCCTTAAGTGAAAGAAGCCATGATACCTTTGTCCAGTTTTGAGGTTTGTCTATGTCACCACTGACGTGTCATAGCATAGAGGCTGGAGACTCTTCTGTACAGAGGGTGTGAGCTTTGTCACCTGCTGAAGCACGTAATACCCTACATACTGGAGTCCCACCCAACATCTAAACCAAGCTGATATGCAGGATATGTATCAAAGTAAAATACTTGAGAGAGATTTTGTTTTGCTTGATTATTTTTTTCTCCTGTAACAATTTCACTTTGATAAGGTGGAGGTCTCCAAGTCAAAGGATTGTGTGCAAAACATAGAAATGATAGGGCCTGGCAGTACATATTTTCTGCCTGCAAAAATGCAGCCAGTTTTTCCCTTTTGGCTTCCCCTTTTGCCTGTTCAAAATTACACATATGGACTTTCACATGTGCACTGCGAACATACAATCAGGATGACTTCACATCTGTCATGCCCTCTGCTGTTCAAAAATCTGTGTAAAATGCTACCTGTACAATTTTGCTTCCAGTGAACTTTCCTAGTGTACAGTTAAAATCCTGTCGTAAGGTAGGAAGGCTGAAGATAACAACAACAACAACAAAACCACAAAACCATCACTTTACTTTCAGGTAGATGCCAAAATCTTCTCTCTGTCTCAGGTTTTCCAAGTAGAAAACAGCGGAGGTATAATTAAGGCAATACTTCTGGTGTGTCTGGCAGAGGTCACCCTGGAAAAACTGCAGAAAAGAGTTGGAAACTTATCAGGAAAGAAAAATGTCATGACAGAGAGGAGCAGCAGCTTTAGTTTTGTAATGTGCATTTTACCTGAGATTTCCTCGTGCCTAGGAAAATAGGGGAAGAAGCAAAGGGGAAGATAAAAAAGGGCGAGTTAAAAGGTAGTAAAAGTGGTAAAGTAGAAAAAACCCTACAACTGTGCTCAAGCAATGCATGGGAGCACAGTTCTAACAGCTCTGCAGAGGTGTGAAGCATTCTTAGACTTTGTTCTCACTAGAAACAAATGATATGAAATTCATGTAGAAGCTGAAGATAAAACCCAGTATCTATGCAACAGCTTTACATAGCCTCATATAGCATGTCGCTTTACATCTGAGTGTGTTAGATAGCTCTCAGAAATGTTGAATGCCATCCACGATGGAACCCAGATTTTCCTGGGATTTTGTCTGTCTCACACAAACATTATTGATAAGAACGCCTGAAGTCAGAGGTAAGAGGGGTGAGAAGCCAAGCTCCAACCTCTCTCTCCCGTTTTAAAATCCTAACCCTGAGATAGGGTCTGTTTCAGTATTTTCCCAGAAGTTTTCTAATGGTCCCTACTGCTAGGGAAAGTTCAGGTTCATGAACTGATTTCCTGTCTGTATTAATATTTCCGATTTCTCAGTCATTGGGAAGTTTTGCAGGAAATAGAGCCCCCAGACGCTGCCGCTTGCACAGCTGCCTTGTTTTCCACGCAGACTGCCAAAAAGGGTCGCAGGGCAGTGCTGGGCAGCAGCAGGATAGCTCTGTCTGTGCCTCTCTTTTGCTTAGCAGACACAGGCCAAAGTGCAAGAGGTGTTTCAGTCCCATCGAGCTCTTAAGTAAGCATTTAAGTACACTCGTGGGTCTGGTCCATGGAGTAAAGGAAGCATCTGCATGATGGAAGGAGGCAGGGAACATTCAGCTATGGGGCTGGGGTCTGGTCTCAGGGAAACATCTTCCGTAGAGCAAGAAGCTCGCTTCTGCCAGTGGCAAAGTCTCCTCAAGGTCTGGGCTATTGTTCCCCAGGAAGGGAAAGTCTTTCCACGCTTTGTTCCACATACTGAGTACCTTTCCAGGACCACCTTGAACATGCCAATGAATAAAAAGAAAAACATCATACTGACAGGAGGTGCTTGAGGGTGAGACCAAACTGCCTGTGGCAGACGGCATGTCCTTGGCTGACTTGGTTGCTCTAAAGCACCTGCATGTTACAATAAATGGTCTGCTGTAAGGACCTGCTGAGAAGAATATTTCTAATTATGTTACCTTTCTGAGTATGGAGCTGAAATCCATAGGAGAGTCTGACTTGCTGACATGCTCCTTCACAGTTTCAAAAAAAGTGTTGAGAAAACTGAGACTTATCTAAGTAAGAGGGAAAAAAGAGTTATCAGCGATCTTCTGAAGTTAGGTTTAAAACAACTTCATTTCCCATCCCTGGTCTCTGCAAAGGCTTCAGGCCTAATGGGGTGCCTATACTTTTCTCCCCAACATCGCCAAAATTAGCTTCAGGATTACACCCAGAATGCTGTAATTAGTCAGAAGCTAAAACAAATTTATAAAAATATCCACTTACGTCATGATAATGCCATATGACAAAAGCTTTGAAACAAGATTACGGTTATGCCATTTAGACTTATTTTAGGGTAGCAGCTGCATTTAACATGAATTGGCATGGAAAATTACACTGATTGTGTATGACAGTGCTGTGACAATTCGGGAAGTCTTCACGGTCAGTTGAAGAATATACCATCTTTCATAGTTTGAGGTCCTTCCATGCTGTTGGAAGTGGAGGAAATTTCTATAAAATGCTATAAAAAAATCACATATTCCCCAAAAGTTAACTTTATATGTTTGCATCGGATTACAGGGGTGCCCACGCTGTCGGTCAGATGTGGATGAAAGCCTGCTTCTAAGCCCACCCTTGCCTCCCGAGCACACAGATCCGCAATTGGATTCAGCTTTAGGCCGAAGTTTAGGCCAGAAGGGAACATCACCCTCTGTGATGCTGCTGTGAACTGCTGTTGTAGCTGCACACTCTGCCTTGGTTGGTGTGTTTCTAGGGGGCGGGGTTGCTTATAGGGTCATAGAATCATAGAATCACAGAATGGTTAGGGTTGGAAGGGATCTCAAAGATCATCTAGTTCCAACCCCCCTGCTATGGGCAGGGACACCCTCTACTACACTAGGTTTTAATTTTGACAAGGGTGCATTTTATGCCTTTTAGAGCATGCATTTTTCATGGATTAGCCTGCTGTCAAGAAGAAATACATGCTTGTAAAATGCATGAAAAAAGGCTTGAAAGGCATTGAGAACAGCTACTTTCTCCTATGTTTGATCACTATTTTACGTATAAGTATGCATAATATATGATCATTTATTATCCTCATTAATAAGGACAACAAAGTTAGAAAAAAAAATTATATTAAAGGTAATTCTCTCAAGACACAATCAAATTTCAGCCAAGGCCAAAGCTTAGATCCCTAAGAGGCACACAGCAATACCCCCCACTCCCTTCTTTGAACAGGAATGAAGGAATCAGCAATTACACAACGACTGAACTCTAGCAGTTGGCCATGTGTATGGTCGTAGACAACAACAAGCACAAGGTGAAGTGCATCAGTTAAAAATCTTTCCTTGTATCTTCAAACTTGCTCAGGTGGTCACTCACAGCAGCTCAGCTGGTGCGTGGTCACTGAGCAGAGGTGACTTGCTTGTGTGTTTAAGTTCTGGCTAACTGTCCCTACTCTGAAGAGCTTTCCTGCTTTTCTTGTTTTGTCTAAAAAGGGAAATGTTAACTGTTATGGGAGGGTGTGATAGTTTGATGTGGGGGGGTGTTCTGGCGGCAGGAGAGGGGATTTGCTCCCTGTGCCACCAGATCTGAGTCCCATCCCCCTCCGGGGGTTGAGCCAAATCGGCGCCTCTGCGAGTTGCCCTATTTAAGTTGAGACAAAGGGACGGGAAAGGGTCTTTTGCCCAGGAGCGAGGAGAGAGCAGGAGGGCGCTGCCCTCGCTCCCGGCTCCCAGCCGGGCGACTGCCCGGGCCCGGGCCGGCGCCATGTGCTCAAGATGGCGCCGGGGGAGCCGCATGGGGCATGGGAAGCACCTCGCTCCCGGGGTGCCCGCCGGGCCGAGCTCCTCCAGAGGGGATTATGATCTAAGAAAAAACAGCCACAACGACCAGGTCAGTCAAGGTGGAGCGCTGGAGCT